TTGCATGGAGAAGGAGATCGGGCCAGAGAATAAGCATGCATGTTTTGATAAAGATTGGTCAATATTTAGCGGGTCAAATGGACCCTGACTTTTGTGTGAAAAACGACAAAATTTGTATTCTATGGCATATTTATTTACTCCTGGAGGATGTTGACCCCAGGAGTTGATAGCATATCCAAGAGGAGTGGTTGGCCTTTAAATTGATACCATATATAGTGATGTATCTACTCAGATGTGGGAGTTACAGTCAAATATTTACAGGTGCTTACGTATTCAGATATTATTTTGTAACCCATTACAACATTAGAGGGAGAAATATCCCGCTGATGGTTTTGAAGTTTTTCATGAAGTTCCAGTTATAGTCAAGAACAACGCCTACAATTTTCGGTGATGATCAGGATAAAATTTTGGGATGAAATGGACGGAAAACATAATTTTTTGTGTGTTTTCGAGTAGAGTATAATCCGAAAATCACAACACAACCCACCGTGAAGGTAATCTGGCTATTAAGGCAATAGGCGTGGATTTTTTAAATCTAATTTTTGAGAGACTATTAAGGCAATAGGCGTGGATTTTTTAAATCTAATTTTTGAGAGACTATTAAGGCAATAGGCGTGGATTTTTTAAATCTAATTTTTGAGAGACTATTAAGGCAATAGGCGTGGATTTTTTAAATCTAATTTTTGAGAGACTATTAAGGCAATAGGCGTGGATTTTTTAAATCTAATTTTTGAGAGACTATTAAGGCAATAGGCGTGGATTTTTTAAATCTAATTTTTGAGAGACTATTAAGGCAATAGGCGTGGATTTTTTAAATCTAATTTTTGAGAGACTATTAAGGCAATAGGCGTGGATTTTTTAAATCTAATTTTTGAGAGACTATTAAGGCAATAGGCGTGGATTTTTTAAATATAATTTTTGAGAGACTATTAAGGCAATAGGCGTGGATTTTTTAAATCTAATTTTTGAGAGACTATTAAGGCAATAGGCGTGGATTTTTTAAATCTAATTTTTGAGAGACTATTAAGGCAATAGGCGTGGATTTTTTAAATCTAATTTTTGAGAGACTATTAAGGCAATAGGCGTGGATTTTTTAAATCTAATTTTTGAGAGACTATTAAGGCAATAGGCGTGGATTTTTTAAATCTAATTTTTGAGAGACTATTAAGGCAATAGGCGTGGATTTTTTAAATCTAATTTTTGAGAGACTATTACTAATTTTACTAGACACCATAGCAAAGTTTTACTTTACATTTATTTTTTCCTACAATAACTAAGGTCATTAAAATCTCATTACCCTGATCTTGCACATTGCAAATGCCTTTAAATACCAACCCATATGTCACTTACGGATATCAGTCACTGTCGAAATATGTTAACAATTACATTCCTATTGCCAATTATAATAATTGCTGCGGGTCAAGAAGCTCCCGTTCGTCATGGTTCCTATCGGTTGTGTTTATATAAACAAGTGGATTTTGAAAAATGTCTCAATACCGTCGAAGTTGCGAAGAAAAATTCCATTAATTTGGAATTGGAATGTGTCCGCAAACAGGATCGTGGTGAATGTATTGAAGCGGTACGTTATGGCTCTTGTGAGATTACCGTATTAACTGATCATGGTTATCGTGAGGCGAGAAAGCAACATTTGCGGCCGATTATTTTTGCCCGAGAGGATAATAGTAGTTTGTCTATAGCTGTGGTACCGAGAGATATTACAATCGTTGATTTGGAGAGGGCGCCAATGTAAGTAGGTGGTATTGGGCGCCATGTGGGAATGAGTGGCATCATCAGATTAAAATATGATTACTCCTTTTACTACTTTTCCAGCAATGTAAATCAATCCAATCATCGGGCTTTCCATGCTGCTGCATTTTTCAACCTTAAGCGAGGACATGATATTTGTGGTTTTATGAAAACCTCTTTGGGGCCTTATATTCGTATCGAAGATTCTGCCAATTATCAACCAAATGAAAATGAAATTTTAATTTGTCCAAATCGTCTGACAGCCGAATTTGATGACTATGTAAATTGTAATGTCGAAGCCGGATTACAAAGGGCCATATTTGCCAAACAGCACATTCGTCGATCCGATATTCATCGAATTCAACAAAAATTTGAAATAATTTTAAAAGAATTCAATGCCAAATCATCAGCATTTAATTTCTTTGCAAGCTATTCGGGTAGTGATAATGCGATTTTCAAGGTAGGTTTCTTCGTACCTGATACGGTGTGGCAATGAGAAGTTTGAATTAATCTGTAATCTGTTTTTCATATTTACAGAATAATACAATTGCATTTGATTTGCGTCCGACCTATCGCAACGGTGTCAATGAGAGGGTATTTAATAAACTACATTGTGATACCGATCATCAGGAACATGATCCAAGAATTATAGAATAAATCTTAAAATAAATAAAAAATAAAAATGCTATTTAAAAAGGCATGTTGCCTAAATAGACACTCAAAATGTGTATTCAAACAACCCTCTATATACCGCTAAAAATTGCCTTTGTGGATCCTCAAAAATTGTATTTAAAAAATCCACGCCTTGTTGCCTTTGTGGATCCTCAAAAATTGTATTTAAAAAATCCACGCCTTGTTGCCTTTGTGGATCCTCAAAAATTGTATTTAAAAAATCCACGCCTTGTTGCCTTTGTGGATCCTCAAAAATTGTATTTAAAAAATCCACGCCTTGTTGCCTTTGTGGATCCTCAAAAATTGTATTTAAAAAATCAGCGCCTTGTTGCCTTTGTGGATCCTCGAAAATTGGATTTAAAAAAAAATAAATATTTATTTGAAATCTAAGATTACGAAATCTCAATTGACATCTGTCAGTAGCATTTAAATCTGCCAGTAATTGCAATAAATCACAAGTGAATAATTGTTGTTTCTATAAATATTACCAACTGCCCAGAAACAGCTGTTGTTCTTATTAGCGGTTCTCTACTGACTCAAATTATTAGTATTCTGAATATGTTTTTTTATTCTTAAACAATTAATAATAAGAAAATTTGCTCAATTAATTCACAATTGTCTTTGAATAAATTTGTTGATGTTTGGAACAAAAATGATCGCCAGTCACGTCTGCTTTTTGGAAAGACAGGTGATAGTAATTGGGGAACCACTTGAGTGTACCAATGCTACTTATTGGCAATTGTGATTATTTGTTCTATATTTATGCCATAAATGGTGATAGGGGATTTTTTGAGGATTTCTTAAAGATTTTTATAGGGATTAAAAATCCACGCCTTGTACTTGAATAGGCCCTCTAAAAATTTATTTAAAAAATCCAATAGATTAAAAAATAGATTTTTTGAGGGCCTATTCAAGTACAAGGCATGGATTTTTTAAATAGATTTTAGAGGGCCTATTCAAATACAAGACGTGGATTTTTTAAAAAGATTTTTTGAGGAGCTATTCAAGTACAAGGCGTGGATTTTTTAAATAGATTTTTTGAGGGCCAATTAAGGCAACAATGCGTGGATTTTTTAAATAGATTTTTTGAGGGCCTATTAAGGCAGCAAGGAGTGGATTTTTTAAATAGATTTGTTGAGGGCCAATTAAGGTAACAAGGAGTGGATTTTTTAAATAGATTTTTTGAGGGCCTATTAAGGCAGCAAGGAGTGGATTTTTTAAATAGATTTTTTGAGGGCCAATTAAGGTAACAAGGAGTGGATTTTTTAAATAGATTTTTAGTGGGTCTGGAATTTTATACATATTTGTATTAAAAATAATAATAATTGTTCTAATAATCTACCTGCGGGTAATAAATGCCATATTTAGTTTCGTAAATGGAAAATCCACTTAATTCCATAATCATTTTATTACTTTAATCTATATTTGTAATCTGAAAATATAGATCAATTGTTTTCAATTTATTCAAGATTATCTTACATACATGCATGCATGTATGTATTGATTATTTACATTATGCATATGCCGGCCGGCAATTTTTATTTATATTTTTTCTTTGCAAAAAAATAAAATCATTTTGCTAGACACGAAGTGAGCCCAATATTTTTTTTGCACACCAATAATTTATTGATCGGTGTGATCGTTGTGCCACAGCTTGACTATGAAAACCTGTTCTCTAGCTGGCTAGCTAGCTTCTCCCACAGGTTGAATGCTAATAAGTTAGGTTATGGCTGTACTAAGTAGTTTTGGAATATTTTTCATTCTGATATTGGCCTTTATTTTGTTTTGCCTTTTTCGTTTCGTTAAAATTAATGAACATCTAAGGGCATCTGTTTTCAGTATTGTGGAGTGGAAAAATTAATTTTAATATACCCTACATATGGCGTGCAGGTCCCTACATAAGAAAATTGTTTATTTAAAAAAAGACCTAAAGCTCTTCTATTAGGAATACCTAAAGCTCTTCTATAAAGAATACCTAAAGCTCTTCTATAAAGAAGACCTAAAGCTCTTCTATAAAGAAGACTTGAAGCTCTTCTACAAAGAAGACCTGATGATCTTCTATAAAGAAGACCTTAAGCTCTTCTATAAAGAAGATCTTAAGCTCTTCGATAAAGGAGACCTTAAGCTCTTCGATAAAGGAGACCTAAAGCTCTTCCTGTTAAAATTCGTTAGTAGTATTTTGGCCTAGAACAGTATTAGGGGTCTAATAATTAGACCTATGATGGGACGCATAAAATTAATTTTAATTTATATTTTAAAAAATATCTTTCGAAATTTTGTGGCCAATATAAATCCACATTTCTGTATAGGGTATATTTAGTATTAATCTAAATTTACTCAGCCTTATTTACAATTTGCCTAGCCAATAATAATAATGAAAAACAATAAAAATGAAGAAAAGCTCAAACATATGTTTGTATGTGCATGAGTAATAATAATAAATAACGAAAGGTGATTCCCGGTAAGTTTCAGACGATGGCGGTTACAGTGAAGAATAAATGTGGGGATAAAGAACAAATGAATATCGAATTGCAGAATTATTTTTTAATAAAATTTGTGAGGGTCTACCTAGGAAATATGCGTGGATTTTTTAAATACACTTTCGGAGGGTCTCTTAAGGCAAAAAGGCGTGGATTTTTTAAATACAATTTTTGACCACCTATTAAGGCAACAAGGCGTGGATTTTTTAAATACAATTTTTGACCACCTATTAAGGCAACTAGGCGTGGATTTTTTTAAATACAATTTTTGACCACCTATTAAGGCAACAAGGCGTGGATTTTTTAAATACAATTTTTGACCACCTATTAAGGCAACAAGGCGTGGATTTTTTAAATACAATTTTTGACCACCTATTAAGGCAACAAGGCGTGGATTTTTAAATGCAATTTTGAGGGTCTATTAAGGCAACAAAACACGGATTTTTAAATGCAGTTTTTGAGGGTCCAATAAGGCAATAGGCGTGGATTTTTAAATACAATTTTTGAGGGTCCAATAAGGTAACAGGCGTGGATTTTTTAAATACAATTTTTGAGGGTCCAATAAGGCAATAGGCGTGGATTTTTTAAATACAATTTTTGAGGGTCCAATAAGGCAATAGGCGTGGATTTTTAAATGCAATTTTTGAGGGTCTATTAAGGCAATAAGGCGTGGATTTTTAAATGCTATTTTTGAGGGTCTATTAAGGCAATAAGGCGTGGATTTTTAAATGCTATTTTTGAGGGTCTATTAAGGCAATAAGGCGTGGATTTTTAAATGCTATTTTTGAGGGTCTATTAAGGCAATAAGGCGTGGATTTTTAAATGCTATTTTTGAGGGTCTATTAAGGCAATAAGGCGTGGATTTTTAAATGCTATTTTTGAGGGTCTATTAAGGCAATAAGGCGTGGATTTTTAAATGCTATTTTTGAGGGTCTATTAAGGCAATAAGGCGTGGATTTTTAAATGCTATTTTTGAGGGTCTATTAAGGCAATAAGGCGTGGATTTTTAAATGCTATTTTTGAGGGTCTATTAAGGCAATAAGGCGTGGATTTTTAAATGCTATTTTTGAGGGTCTATTAAGGCAATAAGGCGTGGATTTTTAAATGCTATTTTTGAGGGTCTATTAAGGCAATAAGGCGTGGATTTTTAAATGCTATTTTTGAGGGTCTATTAAGGCAATAAGGCGTGGATTTTTAAATGCTATTTTTGAGGGTCTATTAAGGCAATAAGGCGTGGATTTTTAAATGCTATTTTTGAGGGTCTATTAAGGCAATAAGGCGTGGATTTTTAAATGCTATTTTTGAGGGTCTATTAAGGCAATAAGGCGTGGATTTTTAAATGCTATTTTTGAGGGTCTATTAAGGCAATAAGGCGTGGATTTTTAAATGCTATTTTTGAGGGTCTATTAAGGCAATAAGGCGTGGATTTTTAAATGCTATTTTTGAGGGTCTATTAAGGCAATAAGGCGTGGATTTTTAAATGCTATTTTTGAGGGTCTATTAAGGCAATAAGGCGTGGATTTTTAAATGCTATTTTTGAGGGTCTATTAAGGCAATAAGGCGTGGATTTTTAAATGCTATTTTTGAGGGTCTATTAAGGCAATAAGGCGTGGATTTTTAAATGCTATTTTTGAGGGTCTATTAAGGCAATAAGGCGTGGATTTTTAAATGCTATTTTTGAGGGTCTATTAAGGCAATAAGGCGTGGATTTTTAAATGCTATTTTTGAGGGTCTATTAAGGCAATAAGGCGTGGATTTTTAAATGCTATTTTTGAGGGTCTATTAAGGCAATAAGGCGTGGATTTTTAAATGCTATTTTTGAGGGTCTATTAAGGCAATAAGGCGTGGATTTTTAAATGCTATTTTTGAGGGTCTATTAAGGCAATAAGGCGTGGATTTTTAAATGCTATTTTTGAGGGTCTATTAAGGCAATAAGGCGTGGATTTTTAAATGCTATTTTTGAGGGTCTATTAAGGCAACAAGGCGCGGATTTTTTAAATTTGAGGGTCTTAATAGACCCTCAAACATTGTATTTAAAAAATCCACGCCTTGTTGCCCTAATAGACCCTCAAACATTGTATTAAGGCAACAAGGCGTGGATTTTTTAAATTTGAGGGTCTTAATTGACCCTCAAACATTGTATTTAAAAAATCCACGTCTTGTTGCCTTAATAGACCCTCAAACATTGTATTAAGGCAACAAGGCGTGGATTTTTTAAATACAATGTTTGAGGGTCTATTAAGGCAACAAGGCGTGGATTTTTTGTATACAATTTTTTTGAGGATATATTAAGGCAACAAGGCGTGGATTTTTTAAATATATTCCAATATATTTGTACTTCACTGTAAATGTAAAATTCATATCCATTTGCAGGAGCAAAAAAAACCTATTAACATCTCCCAACTACTAACACACTTGACAACTTTTATGTTCGGATGTATTTTCTGTTTTGTTCTGTTCCGAATATCGATGATTGGTTGGATGTACTTCTGCAGCAACGCCGCTATATAAAGAGAGTTGTGACAAAGCACTCGATATCAGTGCAACGAGTGAAGTCACTCCGACCACTTCGCGATTGATTTTTGAAATTTAGTTCTAAACAAAACCCCACCGCAATGGGATTTTCCATAGCAACCTTTGTGGCTTTAGCTCTGCTAGCCGTTGTATCAGCAGAAAATGCTGAACCAAAATGTAAGAACCATTTTTTATTTATTTCAAGGTCAAGGTGAATAATACAGTGATCCTTTATTTTACAGTTCGTATGTGTGTTCCATTCATATACTATCAGGATTGTTTGACTTTGTTGGGGAAATTTTCGGAGGGTGGCGTCAAAATGGAATGTGTTCAGGGCCGTGATCGTATTGAGTGTTTGGATATGATCCATCAGGGTAAGGCTGATGTTTTGGCTGCCGAACCGGAGGATATGTATGTGGCCTATCATACGAAAAATAAAGATTACAAAGTAATATCTGAAATTCGTACCGAGGAGGATAAGGATGGTAGGGTTCAAAATTTAATTATGGGTGGTATGGCAAAGGGAGATAATATTTTTTTTCATTCCAGCTCCATTCCGCTATGAGGGCATTATTTTGGTTAAGAAAAACTCGAATATCCACAGTCTCAAGGAGTTGCGTGGTGCCAAATCCTGTCACACTGGATTTGGTCGCAACGTTGGCTATAAAATTCCCATTACAAAGTTGAAAAATGATGGCGTTTTAGAGGTGTCAAAGGATCCTGAACTTACGGCCACAGAACGTGAGCTGAAAGCCTTATCGGAATTCTTTTCGCAATCGTGTTTGGTCGGTACCTATTCGCCATATGCCGAAACAGATCAGATGTTGAGTAAGTGTAAATGTTCCCGAGGTGGTTTCTGAGGATTGATTAATTCGATCGGGATATGTTTTTCTTTCAGAGAAAAAATATTCCAATTTGTGTGCCTTGTGTGAGAAACCCGAACAATGTAATTATCCGGATAAGTTTTCGGGCTATGATGGTGCCATTCGCTGTCTGGACAAGGGCAAGGGTGAGGTGGCCTTTACCAAAGTGCAGTTTATTAAGAAATATTTTGGAGTAAGTATCGATAAGAGCTTTATGTCTTCTTTATAGAAAAACTTTAGGCCTTTCTTATAGAAGAGCTTTAGGTCTGCTTTATAGAAGAGCTTTATGTCTTCTTTATAGGAGAGCTTTAGGTCTTCTTCATAGAAGTGCTTTAGGTCTTCTTCATAGAAGAGCTGAAGGTCCTCTTTTTCATAGAAGTGCTTTTTTGAAACAGCTTAAATGTTCTGAAATGATCTGAAAGTCCCTCCCCTAGAGGCTTCATGTCTTACGAACTAAAAATGTCTCTTTCCCAGCTGATACCCGGCGTTAAAGCAGAAGGTGATCCCAGTGATTTCGAATATTTGTGTGAAGATGGCAGTAGACGTCCCCTGGATGGTCCAGCCTGCTCTTGGGCTCAACGTCCATGGTCTGGTTATATTGCAAATAGCGAATCCATTCAAGGTGAACAACAATTCCATAATTTACAAAATCGTTTGGAAAAATTCTTTGAAAATGCGGTGCGTGGTGAGAACAAGGGTGTAGCCCCCTACTTTTTGATCAATAAGGATGCTGTGTACTATAAGAAACCCGAAGCTGTCGATCCTCAAGAATATTTGGAAAAGGCTGGTTATAAAGATGTCATTGAACGTGATGGTTCGGAATTGAGAAAAATGAGGTGTGTTCCAATAAATATTATAAAAGAAAATGGTCATCAAATTCCCTCTCTCCCGCTCCCTCCAAATCTGTTTTTATAGATTGTGTGTCCAATCCGATATTGAATTTGACAAATGTAATGCCATGCAGCGTGCTGCCTACTCCCGTGATATCAGACCTGAAATCGAATGTGTCAGGGAGGCGAATTGCATTTCAGCTGTTGCCGAGGGCAGGGCTGATATGTTAGCGGTTCCGGCCAGTCAATACAAAGCCGCCAGGGAAGCAAAACTTGAACCCATTGTCTATGAAGCCTATGACGATAATGATGTCTATGTTGTATTGGTCGATCCAAAGTTGACTAAAGAGGATCTCAAAACGAAACCTGTGTAAGTGCAGCCCCCTCATAGCCCACATGGACCTTGACCCTAATCTAAATTCATTTTTCCCACAGTTTCTTTGATCCAAGTAACATACGTGAAGCTAAAGCTGCAGCTTACCTCTATTCTACGAGAGGTCTCAACGAATGTCCCAGCAAACCCGGTGACGATAAATCTATACAGATTTTCAATGCTAGGAACTTAGGCGGAATCAATGGTAAAATTTTACTTTGCCCGGATGGTGAAGAGAAACCACTTGAGGAATGGGAAAAATGCAATTTCGAAGCTAATTTACCGAACGCTGTATTCATCCGGGATTCAATGACCCCTGTCGAAAAGGAGACCCTGAAACATTTATTCATTTCCTTGTCAGATAAATTTGGTAAATTGCGTAAACTGACAGATGTTTTCCAACTTTTCGGAAACTATGCCCCGCACTATGCCGATGTGTTGTTCCGCAATGAAGCTGTGAAATTCGTTACCGAATTGGAGAAGAATAAACTTCCAAATGAAGAGTTCTATCAGAGCTTGCCATGTTAAATTCCTTGAGAATTTCGAAATGAAATAAATGAAAAAAAAAATTCTATTTTTTTAATGCAGAACAAATGAAATTGAAAAATAGTTGCATTTCTTCATCATGATTGGGCGGGAAAGGTCTTCATTATTGAATTGAAATATTTTTCAACGATTTTTTCAAGTGTTAAACATAGGCGTGGTTTTTTTAAAATTTATTTTTAAAGGTTTGAAAATAGAACTTTAGGTCTTCTTAATAGAAGAGCTGTAGGTCTTCTTAATATAAAAGCTTTAGGTCTTCTTAATAGAAGAGCCTTAGGTCTTCTTTATATAAGAGCTTAAAGTCATCTTTATATAAGAGCTTAAAGTATTCTTTATAGAAGAGTTTAAGGTCTTCTTTATAGAAGAGTTTAAGGTCTTCTTTATAGAAGAGCTTTACGTCTTCAGCATAGAAGATCTTGAGGTCTTCTGCATAGAAGAGCTTTAGGTCTTCCTTATAGAAGAGCTTTGGGTCTTCTTTATAGCAGAACTTTAGGTCTTCTTTATGGAAGAGTTTTAGGTCTTCTTCATAGAAGAGCTTTAGGCCTTCTTCATAGAAGAGCTTTAGGCCTTCTTCATAGAAGAGCTTTAGGTCTTCTTCATAGAAAATCTTTAGATCTTCTTCATAGAATAGCTTTAGGTCTTCTTTAGAAGAGCTTTAGGTCTTCTTTATAGAAGAGCTGGAGATCTTCTTCGCAGAAGAGCTTTAGGTCTTCTTCATAGAAGAGCTTTAGGTCTTCTTCATAGAAGAGCTTTAGGTCTTCTTCATAGAAGAGCTTTATGTCTTCTTCATAGAAGAGCTTTAGGTCTTCTTCATAGAAGAGCTTTAGGTCTTCTTAATAGAAGAGCTTTAGGTCTTCTTCATAGAAGAGCTTTAGGTCTTCTTCATAGAAGAGCTTTAGGTCTTCTTCATAGAAGAGCTTTAGGTCTTCTTCATAGAAGAGCTTTAGGTATTCTTTATAGAAGAGCTTTAGGTCTCCTTCATAGAAGAGCTTTAGGTCTTCTTCATAGAAGAGCTTTAGGTCTTCTTCATAGAAGAGCTTTAGGTCTTCTTCATAGAAGAGCTTTAGGTCTTCTTCATAGAAGAGCTTTAGGTCTTCTTCATAGAAGAGCTTTAGGTCTTCTTCATAGAAGAGCTTTAGGTCTTCTTCATAGAAGAGCTTTAGGTCTTCTTCATAGAAGAGCTTTAGGTCTTCTTCATAGAAGAGCTTTAGGTCTTCTTCATAGAAGAGCTTTAGGTCTTCTTCATAGAAGAGCTTTAGGTCTTCTTCATAGAAGAGCTTTAGGTCTTCTTCATAGAAGAGCTTTATGTCTTCTTCATAGAAGAACTTTAGGTCTTCTTCATAGAAGGGCTTTAGGTCTTCCTTATGTAAGAGTTTTAGGTCTTCTTTAGATATGATTTATTTTTCAAGGACAATCAACAGGTTTTTTTAAATCTATCCTAAGGTCGTTGTTGTGACCTGTATAAACATTGGTATGAAATTTGGTAGGGGATTTTTGGTCTTGCCGAATTTTATGACCTTAACTTGAACTGAAAATCACATTATAAATAAATAATTTTTTTTGAATTTAATATTCATACATTCTTCTTCATAGAAGAGCTTTAGGTCTTCTTCATAGAAGAGCTTTAGGTCTTCTTCATAGAAGAGCTTTAGGTCTTCTTCATAGAAGAGCTTTAGGTCTTCTTCATAGAAGAGCTTTAGGTCTTCTTCATAGAAGAGCTTTAGGTCTTCTTCATAGAAGAGCTTTAGGTCTTCTTCATAGAAGAGCTTTAGGTCTTCTTCATAGAAGAGCTTTAGGTCTTCTTCATAGAAGAGCTTTAGGTCTTCTTCATAGAAGAGCTTTAGGTCTTCTTCATAGAAGAGCTTTAGGTCTTCTTCATAGAAGAGCTTTAGGTCTTCTTCATAGAAGAGCTTTAGGTCTTCTTCATAGAAGAGCTTTAGGTCTCTTTACAGGAGAGCTTTAGGTCTTCTTAACAGGAGAGCTTTAGGTCTTCTTTATAGGCGAGCTTTAGGTCTTCTTTATAGAAGAGCTTGAGGTCTTCTTTATAGAAGAGCTTGAGGTCTTCTTTATAGAAGAGCTTTAGGTCTTCTTTATAGAAGAGCTTTAGGTCTTCTTTATAGAAGAGCTTTAGGCTTTCTTTATAGAAGAGCTTTAGGTCTTGTTTATAAAAGAGCTTTAGGTCTTCTTTATAGAAGAGCTTTAGGTATTCTTCATAGAAGAGCTTTAGGTATTCTTCATAGAAGAGCTTTAGGTATTCTTTATAGAGGAGCTTTAGGTATAAAAATTTATATGAAGAGCTTTAGGTCTTCTTCATAGAAGAGCTTTAGGTCTTCTTCATAGAAGAGCTTTAGATCTTCTTCATAGAAGAGCTTTAGGTCTTCTTCATAGAAGAGCTTTAGGTCTTCTGCATAGTAGAGCTTTAGGTCTTCTTCATAGAAGGGCTTTAGGTCTTCCTTATGTAAGAGTTTTAGGTCTTCCTTAGATATGATTTATTTTTCAAGGACTATCAACAGGTTTTTTTTAATCTATCCTAAGGTCATTGCTGTGACCTGTATAAAAATTGATATGAAATTTGGTAGGGGATTTCTTGTTGGTTGATATTTTCTTCATATAATCGATCAAGGAATCCCCTGCCGAATTTTATGACCTTAACGTGAACTGAAAATCACATTCTAAATAAATATTTTTTTTGAATTTAATATTAATACATTTTTTCATTTCTTAGAATTACCGATTACTTTTTTGCATAATAGGCAATTGCAGATTTTTTGCATTAGCAATTAAATAAAATATATCAACAACAACAATTTGTAATCAAGTAGCACTAATTTTAAAACGGGATTCCCTCACTGATTATCAGCCAAGATGAAAATATGCAGATGGCATAGGTGGGTAGGTATATTGATAAGTATTGTGCATTTTGTAAATATGTATACACTAGAGGGAAAAAATCGGACAAAATTTTCAGACATTTCGGGAGATAAGAAATTGATCAATTTTATTATAATAATATTTAAATTATTTTGAAAACAAAAAATAAAAATATAATTCCCCTATTCTAATTCAACCTACTTATGGAGAATACTTCCATGCCGCACTGTAAAGTCAATTGAAATCAACGGTAATGTACTCAGTTAAGATGGTGATAGCCTTTACGAGATAACCCAGATGGACAGATGAACTGAAACGTCAAACGTGTAATTTTCATTTTCATGCTATATAAAGCAACCGGTAGGTTGTCGAAAAATCATCAGTAAGGAAAATACTCTGTGGAGGACAACATCAACCTTAAGAACTTCTAAGGAGAATTACGAATAAAATGAAATTTTCAAGAAGTATTGGTTTGACAATTGCCGTGCTTGGCATGATTGCTGTGGCACAAGCCGATGAACAAATTTGTAAGTTTTTGAAAAAAAGAATTCTTTGAAGAGTTTTTAATTAAAAAATTACCCTTCACAGATCGCATGTGTGTCCCACAAAAATACTATGAGGATTGTTTGAATTTGCTAAAGGATCCTTCAGAGGCTGGCATCAAAATGGAATGTGTGGCGGGACGGGATCGTATCGATTGTTTGGATATGATTAATCAACGTAAGGCTGATGTTTTGGCCTCCGAACCGGAGGATATGTATGTGGCATATCATACGAAAAATTCCGATTATAAAGTGATATCGGAAATACGTACCAAGGATGATAAGGATGGTGAGATTTAAGAAAAAATGTTTGACTCTATGTTATTTAAATAATTATTGTTATTTCATCCAGCCCCCTTCCGTTATGAGGGTGTTATTTTGGTAAGGAAAAACTCAAATATCCACAGCCTTAAGGATTTGCGTGGTGCCAAATCCTGTCATACCGGTTTTGGTCGTAATGTTGGCTTTCGTATCCCTGTGACAAAATTGAAAAATCATCATGTCTTGAAAGTTTCAATGGATCCCGACATGACTGCCACCGAACGTGAATTGAAGGCTTTGTCGGAATTCTTCTCGCAATCCTGTTTGGTGGGTACCTATTCACCATATCCTGAAACGGATCGTTTGTTGAGTAAGTTAAGGACATTTGATGATGAATATTTGAAAAATAAATTGTTGTTGGCATTTTTCAGAGAAAAAATATCCCAATTTGTGTGCCTTGTGTGAGAAACCAGAGCAGTGTAATTATCCGGACAAGTTTTCGGGCTATGATGGTGCAATTCGCTGTCTGGACAAGGGCAAGGGTGATGTGGCCTTTACCAAAGTGCAGTTTATTAAGAAATATTTTGGAGTAAGAAATACCCCCACATTCAGGAACTTTAGTAGAAGAGCTAGCTTCTACTTCATAGAAGAGCTTTAGACTTTTTTATGGAAGGTCTTATTAATAGAAGAGCCTTAAGTCTTCATCATAAAAGAGTTTATATGGAAAAGCTTTAGGACTCCTTAATAGAAGAGCTTTAGGTCTTCTTCATAGAAGAGCTTTACGTCTTCTGCATAGAAGAGCTTTAGGTCTTATGCATAGAAGAGCTTTACGTCTTCTGCATAGAAGAGCTTTACGTCTTCTGCATAGAAGAGCTTTAGGTCGTCTGCATAGAAGAGCTTTAGGTCTTCTTCATAGAAGAGTTTTAGGTCTTCTTCATAGAAGAGCTTTAGGTCTTCTTCATAGAAGAGCTTTAGGTCTTCTTCATAGAAGAGCTTTAGGTCTTCTTCATAGAAGAGCTTTAGGTCTTCTTCTTCTTCATAGAAGAGCTTTAGGTCTTCTTCATAGAAGAGCTTTAGGACTTCTTCATAGAAGAGCTTTAGGACTTCTTCATAGAAGAGCTTTAGGTCTTCTTCATAGAAGAGCTTTAGGTCTTCTTCATAGAAGAGCTTTAGCTCTTCTTCATAGAAGAGCTTTATGGCTTTTTCACAGAAGAGTTTTAGTTATCCTTCTTCATAGAAGAGCTTTAGGTGAGGGCTTTGAAAAAATGTGTTATCTTCTTGTTTTCTTCATCGAAGAGCTCAGGATATTCTTCTTCAAAACACCTCCAATCTCACGATTTCCTTTCTTCCAGATGACTCCCGGTGTGACTGCTGAAGGTGATTCCGCCAATTTTGAATATTTGTGTGAAGATGGTACACGTAGACCAATTACTGGTCCGGCTTGTTCTTGGGCTCAACGTCCATGGACTGGTTACATATCCAATACCGATGCCGTTCAGGGCGAACAAAAGTTCCATAATTTACAAAAACGTTTGGAGAAATTTTTCGAAAATGGTCTGCATGCTGAAAATAAGGAGGCCGCCTCACATCTCTTGATCAACCAAAATGCCGTATATCACAGTAAACCAAAGGCTGTCGATCCCAAGGAATATTTGGAGAAGGCTGGCTATAAGGATGTCATTGAACGTGATGGTTCCGCCATAAGGAAGATGAAGTAAGTCCAGAGGGAAAAAAATTCGAATTGAGAATGTATTTAAAAAAATATTCATTAACAGGATGTGTGTCCAAACCGATATGGAAATGCAAAAATGTGATACAATGCGTCGCGCCGCTTACTCACGTGATATACGTCCCGAAATTGAATGTGTCCAGGAGAGGGATTGCATCTATGCCCTTAAGGATAAAAAGGCTGATATGGTAGCTGTACGAGCCAGAAATTATAAGGATGCACGTGATGTCAAACTCAAGCCCATTGTTTATGAAGGTTATGGTCAAAATGATGTCTATGTTGCGGTGGTGGAACCCTCTCTCACCAAGGATAATTTACAAAATTTGCCAGTGTAAGAGGAATAATTAAATTTAGTTCTCAAGGTTACCAAAATTTATAATTGTCCTTTTTGCAGATTCTTCAATGGCCAAGATGAACGTGCCCACAAGGCAGCCGATTATTTGAATAAAATGCGTGGCATCAATACCTGCCAAACGACACCGTCATCGGAAAAGAACATTATGATTGTGAATGCTCGCGATTTGGAACAGCATAAAAATAAACAGCTGTTGTGTCCAAATAAGGATAAGAAGCCGGTTAGCGATTGGCAAAATTGCAACTGTGAAGCCAATTTGCCTGTGGCCATTTTCATACGCGATTCCATGTCGCGTGTCGAACAGGAAACCTTGAAACATTTGTTTTTATCGCTGTCGGATAAATTTGGTAAAAATGGAAAGGTACCAGATGTTTTCGCCCTATTTGGGGAGTATAAAAATCAACATCATGATGTCTTGTTTAGCGATAACGCTGTGGAATTTGTCACCGAGCTGAAGAATGAAAATACCAGTGAACGTATCTATCAGGGTTTGTCGTGTGATGGTAATACAATTACGAAGCAGTAAAGCGGAAAAAGAAAAGGGTTATTCCAATAAATGATGATTATGATATAATAATATGGAGAATAAAAGTCAACTTGTTTTTATTATTTTAAACAAATATATATTCTTTAAAAATCGACGCCTTCTAATATTTCTTTAAACTAATTTTCATTTAAAATCCACGCCTTCTAATAGAGCTTTAACGAAATATTCTTTAAAAATCTACGCCTTCTAATAGTCCCTTTAAAAAATATTCCTTATAAATCCACCCCTTCTTATAGTCCCTTTAAAAAATATTCTTTAAAAATCTACGCCTTCTAACCACCCATTCTTATAAAATTACTGGTTTAGCACATGATTGAGATAGTGTTGGAAATTCGAAATCATAAGTACGAAATGTACTAAATGGTACTAAATATAGTACAATTTGGATCTATGTAAACTGGTAGGGCTGGGATCTTGAAATTTATGATTAAAATTACTGTTGCAGTGTGGAATTGAGGAAGTTTTAGAAACTCGTGCTTACATCTACGAAAAGTAATAAATCGTACTAAATTTGGTACAATTTGGTGAACGAATAGAGCTGGAATCTTTAAATGTGGACTTATGGTTATTATTGGAGTGCATGACTGAAGTAGTTTTGGAAATTCGTACCTATGGGTACGAAAAGCACAAAATTTGGTCCAATTTGCAACTTAGGTTAGCGTGGGAGTGTAGGAAAAGTGCAGAATGGTACCAAATCTGGTACAATTTGGTGAACATGCATAGCTGGAATTCTTAAATTTGGACTTACGATTAATATTTGAAAGTAGGTTTGAAATATTGAGATAGGTTTCGAATATGGGTACAAAAAGTACAGAATGGTATCAAATCTGATATAATTTTGGTACGAAAAGTACTAAATTTGGTACAAGTTGGACTTTGGTGGAAATAAGATTACTGTTAAAGTGTAGGATTGATGTAGTTTTAGAAATTCTTACTTATGAGTATGAAAAGTTCTAAATGATACTAAATTTGGAACAATTTGGATTTGGTTGAATGCTAAGATTTGGAATTTAAATTATTGTTCAAGTGTAGAATTGATCTATGGAAACAGCTTTGGAAAGTTAGTGTAATAAATATATAATGTCATTGTGTAATAAAATTTGAAATAATTTGGATTTAACCATTGCTGCAAAATTCATAAAAATCGGTTAAGTATTTTCGGAGTCATTCGAATTTCAATTCTACCATGCTCCGAAATATACTTTCTGTTCGAAGCTCGGAGCCTATTACCAAAAAAATGAAAAACCCTACAAAAATCGATTTTGAAAAAATGGAAATTTTTTTCTTCATACAGCTACAGTGTGTGTATGTGTAAAAGTAAATATATTTTACCTACATATCATGCAACAAGAAATTGCACCTCGAACTGCCCTTTGCCCCTGCAAGTATGCTATAATTTTCATACAACAGCAGACATTATGAAAATAATTTTTTTGCCTTTTTTAAAAGACCGATTTTTGTGTGTTTTTTTCATTTTCAGGTATTAGGCGACCAGGATCGAGCAGGAGATGTATTTCGGACCATCGTTGAATTGAAATACAAATATCTCGACAACTACTAAACCGATTTTTATAAAGTTTCCTGATATGGTTAGAGGAAATTCTGAAGTTTTATTACACACTGCTTAAGGGTTATCTTTTAGCTATTATCTTTTTGGAAACACTGTTTTTAACAGTTTACATATATTTCGTGTATTTTTTCACTGCCAAACATCTTCAGTTCGGGTTATATTCGATGAATAGTCATACAAACAAACAACCCTTTCCAATCAGTTGCCCGTATTTGGCGAACCGGTAAAGCTGGAACTCTCTTTGGACATTTGAACTATAAGTATGCGAAAATTACTAAAGTGTACTAAATTTAGTACAATTTCGTAACATGTGAATGGATAGAAATTTGGAATGCAAATTAAGGTTGAGAAGCTGGGTCGATATAAGGAGCTGGCTTTGGAAGCGTGTACTTATGTATATCAAAAGTACTATATCCGGAACAAATTTAATTTGGAGGTAAAAATCGAGTTGGAATCCTGAAAATTTAACCCGAGCTGTGCTAGCGTGAACATATGGTCACACTCATAATACGATCAATAAGTCATCTAAAATACCTGTATCCGAGCAGTGCTAGTGTGAACATACGGCCACAGCCCAAAAATTGATTCAAATTTTTGAATTCAGTGGCCCACAATCTGTGGACGCTGAATGTTTCGACCCACAACACAAAAAATAATTACAGCACTATTCGGATTAAATTAACATTACCGTCGAAGTGTAGGATTGGGATATATACGTAGTTTTGGAATTTCTTTACTTATGTGTACGAAAAGTACTAAATCGTACTATAATTGGTACAATTTTGATTTCGGTAAACCGATAGAGCTGGAACAATGCAAATTGTAGTCAGGATCACTGTTGGGGTGTGGGATTATGGTATGAAAATTTGTACTAATCTGTACTATATGGTACCAAATTTGGATTTGGGTGAACCGATAGAGAGGAAGCTTTACATTTGGATTTAGGATCATTTTTGGGGTAGAATTGAGCTATTTAGGACATTTTGGAAATTCCTACTAATGTGAACTAAATTTTGGGTGAACCGATGCAATGAACTTTTGGAAATTTGTACTAAATGGTACCAAATGCGTTTGAGTGAACCGATTTAGCTGGAATTTTGAAATTTGACGTTCTAATCACTTTTGGGGTGTAGGATTGGGCTTTGTGGAACGTTTTGGAAATTCGTGCCAATGTGTACTAAATTTGGTACAATTTAACTTTTAAGTGAACCAATTGAGCTGGAAACCTTGAAATTTGGAAATAAGGTTAATGTTACAGTGTAGGATTGGGGTATGGATGTAGTTTTGTGAAATTCGTACTTATGGGTACTAAATTGTACTAAATTTGGTACAATTTGAATTTTGTGTGAACTGATAGAGCTGGAACCCTGCAGTTTGGAGTTACGATCTTTGTTGGTATGTAGTATATTGAGCTGTGTAGAAAGTTTTGGAAATTCGTACTAATGTGTACTAAATGGAACCAAATTTGTATTTGGGTGAACCGATAGAGCTGATAAATTTGATGTTAGAATCACTGTTGGGGTGTAGGGTTTGGCTTTGTAGAAAGTTTTGGAAATTCGTGCTAATGTGTATTAAATTTGGTACAAATTACATTTTTGGTAAACCAATACAGATGGAATCGTGAAATTTGGACTTAGGGTTACTGTTGGAATGTAGGATTGGGCTACGTAGAATATTTTGGACATTTATACTAATGTGCACAAAATGGTACCAAATGTGGATTTGGGTGAACCGATAGAGCTGGAATCTTAAAATTTGGTGTTAGGATCACTGTTGGAGTGTAGGATTTAGGTAAACCGTACCGTAAAATTCCGATAGAGCTGGAATTTTACATGTGTTGGTACTAATGTGTTCTAAATTTGGTACAAATTAAATTTTTGGTGATCCAATTTGGAGATATGGTTTCTGTGAGCCCCCCCCCCTGCGTACGTCCCTGGCGTATACATATTGGCAATACTTATACGTAACCTATTCCCCATGGTATAATAAAAAAAGGTAACAGCAAGTGTTGTTGTACAAAAAACGATACAACAACCACATAGAAATTTGTTGTTGTAAGTTCTACTAGTGTCAACTCATTTGACAGAAAAATGTAAACAAACAAAGAAATTATTTTTATTTTGAAAATTAAATATTTTCGAATCCTCAAAATAAAAATTGAAGAACATGAATGAAAATCTATTCCCTTATAATAATTCAAATATGTTTTTTGGTTTCTTTCTATAATTTTATTTCTAATTATTATTATTAATTCGATTTACAATTCAGACTTTCATAAAGCTTTTCTTTAACCTGGGCACTTCTTAAATCAGTTGTAAATTCCAAGGCACTATCGGTGAAAAGAACATTCTCCGCATTTTTATTGTACGCACCAAACAGCGCAAAAACATCCGACAATTTCGATCTTTTGCCAAAGGTATCCGACAGAGAAATAAATAAATGTTTCAAAGTCTCCTTTTCGATGCGGGTCATAGAATCTCGAATGAATAACGCTGTGGGTAGGTTGACATCATAATTACAAGATTTCCATTCCGTAACCGGCATCTTTTCCATATTCGGACAGAGTAATTGTTTATTTTTGTACTGATCTAAATTCAAGGCATTAACGATTTTAATATGCTCTTCTGATGTGGGCGTGGTTTGACAGGTGCTGATACCTCGCAGGTGATTTAGATATTCGGCTGCCTTGAGGGCCCTTTCGTTTTGTGGATTGAAATTTCTGTAATCAAATTTTAAAATTATTTACTGAATTTACATTTGTGAAATCGTACATTTGTGAAGAAAATAATTGTTCTCTACTTAGAGATGGTTCCACCACAGCAACATAGACATCATTGTCGGCATAGCTTTCATACACAATGGGCAGTAGGTCATTTTCTCTGGCCTCTCTATACAGGCCGGCTTTAACAGCCAACATATCAGCCTTTCCCTCCTTAACGGCTGAAATACAATTTTCCGCCAGGACACACTGCATTTCGGGACGTATATCACGTGAATAGGCAGCACGGCGCATGGTATCACATTTTTCCAATTCAATATCGGTTTGGACGCACATACTGGGGGAAATATAATTTGCGGATTTTCTTTAAAAAATAATTCGAGTATTTACTCACATCATTTTCCTAATATCCGAACCATCACGTTCAATAACATCTTTGTAGCCAGCGGCCTCTAGATATTCCTGCGGTTCCACTCCATGCGATTTGCTGTGATAAACGGAATTCTCATTGATCAGTAAATGGGAGGCGGCCTCCTTATTCTGAGCATGTAAACCCTGTTCGAAGAACTTCTCCAAACGATTTTGTAAATTGTGCAATTTTTCATCATCTTTCACGGAATAGGTATTGGATATATAGCCGGTCCAGGGTCGTTGAGCCCAAGAACATGCCGGCCCGTCGATTGGACGTCTGCTGCCATCTTCACACAAATAATCGTAATCGAAGGCATCTCCTTCAGCCACAATGCCGGGGATCATCTGAGAAAATAGAAGAGAAAAGCTTTAGTATTTCATTTCATGGAAGAGCTTCAGGTCTCCTTCATAGCAGAGCTTTAGGTCTTCTTCATAGCAGAGCTTTAGGTATTCTTCATAGAAGAGCTTTAGGTCTTCTTCATAGCAGAGCTTTAGGTCTTCTTCATAGAAGAGCTTTAGGTCTTCTTCATAGAAGAGCTTTAGGTCTTCTTCATAGAAGAGCTTTAGGTCTTCTTCATAGAAGAGCTTTAGTTCTTCTTTAGGTCTTCTTCATAGAAGAGCTTTAAGTCTTCTTCATAGAAGAGCTTTAGGTCTTCTTCATAGAGGAGCTTGAGATCTTCTTCATAGAAGAGCTTGAGGCCTTCTTCTTCATAGAAGAGCTTTAGGTCTTCTTCTTCATAGAAGAGCTTTAGGTCTTCTTCATAGAAGAGCTTTAGGTCTTCTTCATAGAAGAGCTTTAGGTCTTCTTCATAGAGAAGCTTTAGGTCTTCTTCATAGAAAAGCTTTAGGTCTTCTTCATAGAAGAGAGGTCTTCTTCATAGAAAAGCTTTAGGTCTTCTTCATAGAAGAGCTTTCGGCCTTCTTCTTTAGGGTTACCTCTTAGAAGAGTTTTTTTTTTTTCTTCATTTAGCTTACCCCAAAATATCTCTTGACAAATTGAACTTTGGTAAATGCCACATCACCTCTACCCTTGTCCAGGCAACGAATGGCTCCATCGTAACCAGAATATATATCGGGATAATCACATTGTTCTGGTTTCTCACACAAGGCACACAAGTTGGAATATTTCTTTTCTACGGAAAATAAAAAAAATAATTTCATATTTCTCCTGTCTCCCAAATCAACAACTTACTTAACAGCCGATCTTTTTCCGGATATGGTGAATAACTACCCACCATACACGACTCCGTAAAGAATCCCGACAAAGCTTTAAGTTCACGTTCTGTTGCCGATATTTCTGGATCCAATGAAACTTGCAGAACCTGAGCATTTTTCAATTTCGTTAGGGGTATTTTATAGCCAACAGTGCGACCAAAACCTGTATGGCAAGATTTTTTGCCATGCAAATCTCGCAGACTATGAATGCTGGAATTTTTCTTAATCAAGATGACACCCTCATAGCGGAAGGGGGCTAAAAAAATAGAATTCATTAAATTATTTTCATAATTGGTTAACAAACAAAAACACCCCACCTTCTTTATCCTCTTTGCTGCGTATCTCCGATATAATTCGATAATCGGCATTTTTGGTATGATATGCCACATACATATCTTCCGGTTCGGAGGCCATAACATCGGCCTTACGTTCATTAATCATATCCAAACAATCGATACGATCACGTCCCGCGACACATTCCATATGTATGCCAGCCTCTGAGGGATCCTTCAACAAATTCAAACAATCCTCATAGTATTTTTGAGGGACACACATGCGATCTGTGTGGAGTATTCAAATCAGGGTTAATATTGAGTGGATATTTCGTATCTCCCAAAACTTACAAATTAATTCTTCACATTTCACCGCAACTAAACATCCAAAGATGAGACATATAAATGTCAACAATTGTCTATATCCCATTGCGATTTTTATTAATTTCAATTTCTAGATTTTTTTCGCTGATTTAAAAAATTAAAATCTTCCGCAATATCTACGAACCGTACGTTTTGATTACTGTTTTTCAACTGACAAAGAAACTGATAATAAGCCGGTTTCTTCTTTTGTGTAGTTGGTGTATAAAAAAAACAATAAAGACAAGACAAGCAGACGCTCTAGTGTCTGCTTATGGTCAAACGGCAGCTACTGGATTGATGCACAATATGAACGGTAGAGATGGTACGTCGTAATGTATTAAACGTAGCAAACGAAACGTACACTAAAATAATGCTTCGATGAACAATTATAGCTTCGTCGACCTTAACAATATGAGATTTTCAAATAAGAAGACCCCTTGCGATAAAAAGATCACAAAGTTTTCTAATAAGAAGTTCTTAAAGTATTCTAAAAAGATCTGGAAGTCTTTTAAAAAGAAAGTCTATAAATCGTCTAATAAGAATATATCAAAGACTTATAATAAAAAGACAGATCTAAAAAACTTCTACAGGTCTTCTAATAAGTCCAATTTGTCTTCTTCATAGTAAGAAGACGTACGTGTCCTAATATAGGTCTTATAATTAGAGAACCAATATGTCTGGTTCTCTAATTAGAAGACCTATTGGTAATCAAAGAAGAAGACCTATCGGTCTTCTAATAAGAAAACCTTTTGGCCTGCTAATAAATATACTTATCATCTGAACATATATTAGGATTCTAAGAATGAGACCTTCTAACAAGAGAACAATTTGATGTTCTTATGTGGTCTCTTACTCTTCGTTTAATAACTCGACATATTGGCCTATTTTTATAACCTATTTTTATAATGAGAATGATTGAATAATGGTCGTCTATAAGCAATAGGTCTTCCAGTAAGAAGACCTATTGGTATTCCAATAAGAACACCTATTAGTATACTAATAATACACTTGTTCTAATAAGAAGTCCTCATGCCATTCTAATAAGAAAAAAATCTTCTGGTTCAACATTCGCGATTTTAGTGACAAAATGAAAATTTTCATACGTAATCTCCAATTTGGATTAAGATTTCCATAGGAAATCTTCAATTCAGCCCCAGCTGAATCAACTCAGCCCAGCTGAATTAAGTTTTTCATAGGTAATCTTCACATTCAACCCCAATTGAAATAAGATTTCCATAGGCAATCTTCAATTCAGCCCGGCTGAAATAAGATTTCCATAGGTAAGCTTCAATTCGGCCCGGCTGGATTAAAATTTCCATAGGTAAGCTTCAATTCAACCCCAGCTGAATTAAGATTTTCATAGCTAATCTTCAATTCGGCAGAGCTGAATTAAGATTTCCATAAGTAATCTTCAATTCAGCCCAGTTGAATTAATATTTCCATAGGTAAGCTTCATTTCAGGCCGGCTGAATTAAGATTTCCATAGGTAAGCTTAAATTCAGCCCGGCTGAATTAAGATTTCCATAGGTAAGCTTCAATTCAGCCCAGCAGTATTAAGATTTCCAAAAATAATCTTCAATTCAGCCCATCTAAATTAAGATTTCCATAGGTAGTCTTCAATTCAGCCCAGCTGAATTAAGATTTCCAGAGGTAACCTTCAATTCAGCCTCAGCTGAATTACGATTTCCATAGGTAATCTTCAATTCAGCCTCAGCTGAATTAAGATTTTTATATTGTATAATACATTTTCGACACAAGGTGTGAATATTTCTTCATCAGGTCATTGTCACTCCGCTAGGGGAGGGGTGGGATCTATTATTTGTTTATATAATTAATATATAAATAAACAAAGTCTGCATGTAAGTCTTCTTAGCCATAACTAATAAAAGCTTTCAAATCACGTATCAGTTCCAATGTTGTGGTGACGCTTCACCATTTCGTTGTTGTGTTAATTAATTAATTATGTATGCACGAAGTTTAGTCTGTTCTTTTGCTTGAATAATTTTAGCAGTGGTTTTAAAATAGTTAACTGGTAGCAAATATTCAGATATAAAATTATTTGCAAAATTTTTAATGAAATACATAAATTTACAAATATATATTTGTAATAAAGCAATATTAAAGGAAAAAATTGTGGATACCCTTTACTTTCAGCTCCAAAAATGGGATTACAGCTTCTAATGTTTGAGGTTGACAATTTCTCAGATAACATGATACTGAGACAGGGGCATAGAAAATTGACACCTTGATAATAGGGGTATAGCCCGGGCTTAACAAAAGAATTAGTCGAATTTTGAAATATCGTTGTAGTTTTACAAATGAAATTTTTTCTTATATAACATGTGATTATATATGTGTGTGTGTATTTATAGAAATCGGTTAAGTCTCCGCTAGTTCATACGTCTGTCACCTCAGCCCATTGTGTAAATGCAATAGGACTGTTACAACAATAACAACTTCATTACTTGTTTTTTATTTATTATTATTTTTTTATTTTTCAAATGGTTTATTTATATATATAATGTCAAGATTACATACTCATCTACCTGTATAAAAAATGTTGTTATATAACATCTCTAATCACTCAAAAAATTAATGAACAATAATAATAATAGAACATAAAAAGCCATGGAATATATCTTTTTGTTTTCAGCTAAGTAATATAAAAAAATAATAAACAATAAATTCACAAAGAAATATTTAAAAAAAGTTATACAACTAAAAATAAACAAAAAATTAAAAAAAATAGAGTTTTGTGTACAATAAAATCATAAAATTAGCAAATAAAATCTTTTGAGTCCAAATTCCTTAGAATGGGGTTGAGGGGATTGGTTGTTTGTGTGGTAGAGGATCAGAATTATAATTTCACAATTAATTAATTAATATATCTTTTACATTGTTACAGAGATAGGGATAAAGAGTAAGAAGGGAAGAAGCGGATCAACCGCTAACTTCTAGAATGCAAGCAACACAATATTACTTCTTTGGGATGACGGCTTAACAAAGAGAGAGAAGAGAGTAGAGGGGTGGATGAATTACACAAATAATCTCTTTATTTTGGAGTTTTGTGAGCCTCTTTGCCATCATCAGCATTTTCACCATCACTTTTGTTATTGGGATCCGATTCTTCTTCGGAGTAATCCTCATCGTGAGTATGGGTAACTGTGCGGGGAGTACTTGGCCGGGTGTGGGGTACAGTGACGGTCTGGAAGAAAAGGGGAAGATATTACAAATAAGATAAAAAATAATGTAGACAATCATTTTCAATTAAACCCTAATTCAATCGGGCTTAGCTACACATGTCAATCTATATTCAGCCGTGCTAAATTGAAGATTACCTTAATTCAGCTGGGCTGAATTGAAGATTACCTACGAAAATCTTAATTCAGCTGGGCCGAATTGAAAATTACCTATGGAAACCTAATTCAGCTGGGGCCGAATTGAAGATTACCTATGGAAATCTTAATACAGCTGGGGCTGAATTGAAGATTACCTATGGAAATCTTAATTCAGCTAGGCCGAATTGAAGATTACCTATGGAAATCTTAATTCAGCCGAGCCGGAATGAAGATTACCTATGGAAATCTTAATTCAGCTGAGCCGGAATGAAGATTACTTATGGAAATCTTAATTCAGCTGGGGCTGAATTGCAGATTACCTATGGAAATCTTAATTCAGCTGGGGCTGAATTGCAGATTACCTATGGAAATCTTAATTCAGCTGGGCTGAATTGAAGATTACCTATGGAAATCTTAATTCAGCTGGGCTGAATTGAAGATTACCTATGGAAATCTTAATTCAGCTGGGCTGAATTGAAGATTACCTATGGAAATCTTAATTCAGCTGGGCTGAATTGAAGATTACCTATGGAAATCTTACTTCAGACGGGCCGAATTGAAGATTACCTATGGAAATCTTAATTCAGCCGGGCCGAATTGAATATTACCTATAGAAATCTTAATTCAGCTGGGGCTAAATTATGTAAATCTTAATTCAGCTGGACTGAAGTGAAGATTACCTATGTAAATTATGTAAATTATGTAAATTATGTTAATCTTAATTCAGCTGGACTGAAGTGAAGATTACCTATGTAAATCTTAATTCAGCCGGGCCGAATTGAAGACTACCTATGGAAATGTTACTCCAGCCGGGCCGAATTGAAGATTACCTATGAAAATCTTAATTCAGCTGGGCTGAATTGAAGATTACCTAGGAATGTTTAAACTTAACCCGGCTGAATTGATGATTGTCGTTTTAAATCTAGGATTTTATTAATTACCTTTTCCTCTGTTGTAGATGTTGTGGTTGCCGCAGGTTCAGTAACTTCCTTGGTCTCCTCCTTGGCCGCAGGGACTCCATTATCAGTGGCAACATGACTACCACTGGCTGTTGTAATTTCCGATTTAGTTGGTCTGGCTCGTTGTATCATGGGCGCCTCAATTTGATAGCGTTGCTCATGGGCAACAGTAGACTCATGAGGCAATAACATAGCCGGGGCACGGAACATATAGGAGAATGGATAATAGATGAAATTCAAGAATGTTGCCGCATACAAATCCGCATATCTGACCACCTGACTGGAAAAGAATGTCTGACGTGAACCAGAACGGAAGAGCGATCCCATCATACCATAGGCCATGTCCATTTTGTGGGTAACATCACGAATGGAGGCGCGCAGTTTGGAAATATCCGGCTTTTCTTTGTTGCTGGAGTCGAGATTTCTGGAAACCACAAAAATTCGTAAAATTAATAATCCGATCTCATCCAGCGATTAAGTTCAGGTTTACTTACTTATACATCTCTCCCAATTGACAATCGAGTTGCTGCAACTCAGCAAAGAATTGACACTTATCGGTCCACACATGCAACTCCTGTACCAATTCGGGCACCACCAAGAATGTACGCCAGCCACGAATTTTCTTCGATTTCAAAATATCACCGAAAATGTGATCACCAATATAGAGAACATCCTTACCCTTGGCATTGATGAAATTGGTGAATACCTCACAGGAGCCACCGGAATATACTTGGCCAGGCTGCAAAGGACCCATGTGGGTACCAATTTTCAATGCTCCCGTTTCAGTATCAACCTGCCGGAGAATGGTACCCTCACCAAAGAACAATGGTTTACGAGCATCAACAACAATGACATCAAAATAAGTTTTCCAATCACGATGAGGCTCATCGGGTTTGGCACCATGTGGGAAATCGAAAATGTAGGTCATAATTTTGTTACTGAAATTGTAGTCGCTGTTTGTCAGCAAGAAGACCTTGGCACCAGATTCGCGTATGCGGGCCAAAACCATTGGTAGACGGGGATCCTTTTTGACATAATAATCTAGGTTCTGTAATAAATGGGAAATAGAGAGGGGTGTTAATATAAGAGTAACATTTTAATGTTTTTAAAGAGAGAAAGCTTACCTCAACGGTCCTTTTCTTTAAATCACCCTGTATGTGTACCCAATCAACGGCTCGGCGTACATCCTGGAATATGGAATTGAAGGACATAAACAATTCACCAGCCTTGACACCAGTGCGATCCCTAGAAAATAAAAAAGAGAATTTTAGAATTTTTAAAACTTTATTCAAAAATTATAAAAATATTAACTCAGCTGGGCAGAATTGCAGATTAATTCAGCCGGGCCGAATTGAAGATTACTTATGGAAATCTTAATTCAGCAGGGCCAAACTGAAAATTACCTATGAAAACCTTAATTCTGCCGGGCCGAATTGAAGACTACCTATGAAAACCTTAATTCTGCCGGGCCGAATTGAAGACTACCTATGGAAATCTTAATTCAGCCGAGCTGAATAAAATATTACATATGGAAATCTTAATACAGCCAGGCTAAATTGAAGATAATCTTAATTCAGTTGAGCTGACTTCAAGATTACCTATGGATATCTTAATTCAGCTGGGCTGAATTGAAGATTACCTATGGAAATCTTAATTCAGCTGGGCTGAATTGAAGATTACATACGGAAATCTTAATTCAGCTGGGCTGAATTGAAGATTACCTATGGAAATCTTAATTCAGCTGGGCTGAATTGAAGATTACCTATGGAAATCTTAATTCAGCTGGGCTGAATTGAAGATTACCTATGGAAATCTTAATTCAGCTGGGCTGAATTGAAGATTACCTATGGAAATCTTAATTCAGCTGGGCTGAATTGAAGATTACCTATGAAAATCTTAATTCAGCTGGGCTGAATTGAAGATTACCTATGGAAATCTTAATTCAGCTGGGCTGAATTGAAGATTACCTATGGAAATCTTAATTCAGCTGGGCTGAATTGATGATTACCTATGGAAATCCTAATTCAGCTGGGCTGAATTGAAGATTACCTATGGAAATCCTAATTCAGCTGGGCTGAATTGAAGATTACCTATGGAAATCTTAATTCAGCCGGGCCGATTTGAAGATTACCTATGGAAATCTTAATTCAGCCGGGCCGAATTGAAGATTACCTATGGAAACGTAATTCAGCGGGAGCTGAATTGAAGATTACCTATGGAAATTATAATTCTGCTGGGCTGAATTAAAGATTACCTATGGAAATCTTAATTTCGGTGGACGGAATGGAAAATTACATATAGAAATGTTAATTTAGCCGGGCCGAGTTGAAGATTACCTATGGAAATATTAATTCAGACGGGCTGAATTGCAGATTATATATGGAAATCTTAATTCAGCCGTGCTGAATTGAAGATTACCGATAGAAATCTTACTTCAGCCGGCCTGAATTGAAGATTTTCTATGGATATCTTAATACAGTCGGGCTGAATTGAAAATTAAGATTTTCTATGGAAATCATTATTCTGTTAATTACCTATGAAAGCCTTAATTCAGCTGTGCCGAATTAAAGATTATCTATGCAAATTAAAATTAATCTGAGCTGAATTGAGAATTATCTCTGAAAATCTTAATTCAGCCGAGCTGAATTGAAAACATCTTATACAAATTCTTGCTCAACCAGTCTGAATTTAAAAATTATTTATCCTACATCACATTCCACAAACACAAATCTACCTTCACCCATCTTTAATTTCCGTTCCTTTCAGAAAAATAGTTGCCTGCAAATTACAAATTGTTCGTTTTCACTACTTCCTTTAACATGACTTACAATTCTAATTAATTGCCATCAATGGTCCCTTTGTGTGTTGAAATCAGTAAATTTTCTTTACTCACCATGAAATAAAATCTTTCCCTGCCATAACCCCTCATATAATTTTTGAAATTCTTACAAAAACATGAATTTTTCATTTCCTTTCTGTAGACCTTTACAAAGTTATACTGTAACACATTATTAAGAGCTTCCTCCTAACCCCTCACTCACTCGTGTTTACAAATTCCATACCATTCATGAAAATAGACCCCTTTCGGTGAAATTCAATTAGGAACACACGTTTTTTAATCCATTTGAAATCACAAACCAATATTTTTCTTTCGTTAGTTATTATCGATTGTAAGATGAATTTAATGAAAGGTATAAGAAAGGGGAAAGGAAAAAGCTTTTGAAAATCAAGGTCCCCTTGTTGGTAAATACAAAGCTGTTTGGTGTAATAGAAAATTAAGGAAAAAGAGAAAATATCACAATTCATTGAACCCTTGTTGTTGAATCGTCTTTGTCGTCAGCCTCATCGACACTCCTTCATATATAGGATAGTAGATAATATTTAATTTTGAATAGAAACATTGAAAGAATTTGTTATAGCCTTAGTGGAAAACTAAGCAACTAATAGATTTTTCGAATTAATTCCATTTATGTCTACATCATTTACAATTTGATAGAAGGCTTATTTGTTGTCCCTCGTCATATCCATTGTCGTAAATACACCATTGGTCATTATCGATTATTATTGTTATTATTATTGAGAAGTTACCACTATGGACGAACGACATCAGCCTTTATTATTATGATTTTCATTGGATAATTAATGCTGTCCATGACACAATGTCAATATCATTGTCACATTTTCGTATATCCATGGACATTAACACATATTTACATATACATATCAACTACTTATGGCAGGTCAAGAATTATTACTTTGATATGTGTACGTACGACTATACAAAAGGAAGTCGTTAAATTAAGCTTTTCTTTATTTGTTGAATTTACAAATGAAGGTCAATAGGTGGCCATAATCATTATGCCATGAATATCCATTCATCGAAAGGATATGTTTGTATGTGTGTATGTATTATATCCTTTAGATCAACTAATGAGCAATTATGTGTGTGCGTGTGTGTGTGTATAAGATGACAATTTGAAAGAATTATCTTAACATGAGAAAATTACAGATAATTATATGGATCAATTGGTTATTAGGAAATTTGTTCAATTCAAGAAATTCCCACAGGGTTTGATAAATTGCAATAATATGAACAAGGTCAATAGAAAAATTTAATATGAACAAGCAAAAGGGATATTAACATCTATAATAGTGTAACATTGGTTTTCAAAATAGAACAAGAAATATTTTAAAATTTGGAACAAAGAAAATCTTTTTTCGTTAACTAAGTCCACTATTGGAAAATATATATAATGGAATCCCGATAATAACGAATTGTCTAATTTTTGGTAGGGCTAAAATTTTGAATGAGAGTAGTTCAATCGATCCATAGATTGTTAAAAATTATTGTTGTTCTGAAATCATGCCGGTTGGAGTTAATGGATTATAATTACTCAGAATTCATTCAAGTTAATACCATTAAAATATAAAAAAAGAAATTTTTATAAAAACAAGGAAAAAAGTTAAGGCTGTAGCGGCTTGACCGTACCCCTACTCTAAAATCTGTGGGGCCTCTTTTATGGGAGCTACGTCGGACGGGACCGGTCGGACTTAGACTCTGATTAAGAATATATACATTATGGGGTATCTATCGAATATTTCGAAGTGTTGTAAAGTATTAAGTACCGATCAAGAGGTGCGGTATATCTAACCAAGAAAATTGTAAATGTAAGATATTGTGAGTACAATAACATAAAGTGGTCCTATGCCATCATATATCCAGTGTTGCCAAAACTCAATTCAGAAACAAAAAAGGAAAAATCAAAATCCGGACTGGACTGACTATAGGATACTCTTCCCCAATTTGGGTACATACAAGAGATGCTTATAGCATCTTTGGGGGACCATTGAACTGGAATCGGACGAAATTAAATGTGTAAACAACATAGATAATTGAACTAATTTAAAACAACCCACACACATACCGTTAGGAAACCTATGAAAAATTGCATGTCAATTAGGCAAACTTTGGTGTACCATTTGTATAAAATCGAGCACGATTATATATGGGAGTTATATGTAAATCTGGACGTATTTGAGCAACCATTTGGTATGCTGCAATACAGTGCGCTGTCCAAAATTCATCTCGTTCTGGGAAATGCTTATTATTTACGGCGCATTTTGCATGAACCTAGACGAAAGTAGAAATCTGGACCTAATACATTAAATCGATCGAAAATATACAAAGGAGCTATATCTAAGTCTAAACCAATTTCAACAAAACTTCACGTGCGTCAACCTGCCCCAATTTTAAAATGCTGTGCAAAATTTTGTCTCAATCGGACAAACCTTGGCAGTTTGATGTACCATTTACATAAAATCGGACGAAAATATATATGATAGATATATCTAAATCTGAACCGATTCCAACAAAACTTCGCATACATCAATCAGGTCCTAATACAATACGCTGTGCAAAATGTTGTGACACATATTAGAAGTTAGTGCACCATTTACATTGAATCGGACGAATGTATATTTGGGGCTATATATAGATCTGAACTGTTTTTTTATAATTTCAATACGGTCCGTCCTTACGCCAAATATGTGACCTGTTCCATGCTGACAGACCTGCATAAATCGACTCAGAAAGTGATTCTATACATATTCTCAAAATAAACCATGGATCTATCTCGATTCCTTTTGCCTGTTACAAACATATGCACAAAGACTTAATACCCTGTACCACAGAGTGGTGAAGGGTATAAAAATGCTCGATTTTGTTTACAAAAATACTAAAAAGTGTTAAAAATTTAGAAGTGTTAAAATTAACATCTAAGTTGTGAGGGTATTATAAGTTATTGTGGTCCAAGAGATTGTAACGTCCCGGAATATTGGTCCTAGACCTATTTTTCGGTATACATATGTGTGTCCGTCGTCTGTTCATTAACAAAGTAACGGTCACAGTTTTGAGCCAGTCAAATAAACATTTTATGTCGTATACATTTATTCCTGAAGCTCAGAGACCGGACGTGGGAGATATACATAAATATTTATATACGTATACGTATTCTAATACTGTTTGGTATTATCATTCACTAGAAGGTAGAAATGTTGCTCTGATAGCTATTAAATTTTGCATATAGTTCCAATTATGGTGAAGTGTGGAAACTAAAGTTTAAATAAGTTATTCGAGTTTCAAATTGAAAATCCATGAAACCACGTTTTTCTCTATATTTACCGTTATACAATTAATTTTCGAAGTGACCCAGAAAAACCAAAGGTATTTTCGTGGTCCAGGGACTCCAACTAAACAGAATTGGTACATTAGAACCCCTGACAAATTTTCGTGTCACACAGTGTAATTGTGTTATCAGTACTTACTCTGTATATTCCGAACTATTTGTAAAGAAATCCACCAGACAGGCCAACAAATAAGTTTCCGGTAAATTGAAAAGTGTATTCAGCACATATACTCTTGATTCGTCTAATTTTAAGAACTTATTTGGATACAATTCATAGACTTGAGAACTGAAAACAAAAGAAATTTACATTAATATTTAGAAATATTCAAAGAAAAATATATAGATTTTTATTGTCAAACTTACTGCTTTAAAAATTCAAAACCATGAACGCACACCAATATATTACCATAGGCATCCACTTTCAAGAGATTACCATATAGAGTATCAAACCACAAACCACGAATGGGGAATGATGGATCATATTCGAATTGCATTATCTCTTTGGGATAGCCCATGCTAACCAGACGCTCCTTGACCAAATCAAATCCCAGTTGTTCATATTGTGGCGATTTGTATTCTAGAAAGGATAAAAAATATTTATTTATTGAAATAAAATTAAGGAATGATTTATTTTACTAATCTTACCGGCCAATGTGTAATCCATATCGAAACCATAGAATTTAATATTTTCCAAATGCAAGGATCTGTTGACAAAAATTCTGCAAAGAGAAAGAAAAGGAAAACATGGATTAGTATGATATCAATGGAAAAGTTATCTAATTTAGAATTATTATGTTCGTATAATTTTTATATACAATTTATTACTTGAAGAAGAGGGTCTTTTAAAAATTAAACATACACTAGCATAAAATCGAAAATTCATGTAAGATTATATTGTCATATTAAGGGGTTTTTTAATTTAAGAAGTTTTATAGTCAGGAATCTATAAAAAATATGAATGTCCAGATATACTGAGGGCAGTATTATTAGGTTTTTAATTCCAAAACACGCGAAGCTCTATAAAAATAGTAATAAATTGTTTTTTATGATAGATTTAGAAAAACGATAGTGGAGTTTACGATCCGAAACGACCGGAATATTACTCGTCCCTCGACAGTAATCTCAGCCCACTTTGTTAAGACGTTATAACAACATCTATAAAGCTGCGATATAAATATGAAGTATATTCAGTATCAACGGGAGTGGTATGGGACACAATCCTGAGGGTGACCTGAGGTGATATTCGACGTACACATCTAAGTGCCTTTCAGGTTTAGCATTACAAAGTCGAAGGTAAGAAGCTACAATTGTATTGATAAGTTGCAATAAAAGAAAATGACTTTAATATCTGATACATAAATAAGGGGGTAAAGATTAAGATTCTCCAGACCAGTGATATTTTGAACCTTTGGGGAACCTTTCGGATCCTCACACCCTTGATTGATTATACACTTTTAATTTCTATAATAGCTATTGTCATTGTGGTGAATTTTCTTATAATTAAAATATATAAATGTAAAGCATACTTTCAGGCGCTTTTGGATTTGCTTTGCACAGGGTGGACAAATTATTCATTTTTATAGAGGAAATAAAAAAAATCATGATTTTGAATCTTGACATGGATTAAAATTTAGAACTCATTTAGATTTCATGTTGAAAAATTAAAAAAATAATCAATTAATTTTCAATGACCTAAATTATCCAAACTCAGAAAAAATTGCTTAGAAAAAATTGATTACCAAAGCTATATTATGTCTGAAGAAGGGTTACATCGATCGACTTCATCTGGTACCTCCCCAATCCGGATTTATTCAAACTTTGCACAATATGCTACTTAAAACTAGAAGTAATTTGTGCGAAAGTTTTTTTTAATCGTAAGGAGCATTCTCGATTTAAAGGGTAATTTAAAGGAAACTTTCAATTTTAAATCGGAAGGAACATTCTCGGGTTAAAGGGAAATTTAAAGGAAACTTTCGATTTTCTGCACAAATTCGTACAAAACCCTGAAGGAACATTCGAAAATAGGAACGTTTTCGAATACTTTTTCAGAAATTCTAAAAAAAATCTGAATATTATAGTTTGTTTTATTCGATTCAGATTTAGCAATGCCCATCCGTCTTTTGAAGTCAATATAGAGCTCACAATATTTAAGATAGAGATTTGAAATATGCACTACTCATAAAATGCTTGGAATTAAAAATGTGATTTATCCATACACGATTTGGTGTAATGATTACACATAACATTCTATATTTTAAGCACGGTTTCAATTGAATTGGTTATAATTTGGTATTTTGGGTTCTCATTGAGTAGAAAATCTTTCTACCAAAAATGAACAATATTGGACGAACGGTGTCTACTAAATTTCAATATTCGCTTTTCAACCACACTCAGGGATTATGTCTTTGTGCATATGTTTGTAACAGGCAAAAGGAAGTGAGATAGACACATGGTTCCTTTTGCGAATGTGCATAGAATCGCTTTCTAAGTCGATTTATGCAAGTCTGCTCGTCTGTCGATGTTGAATTGTTAAACAAAGTACAGATCGCATTTATGATCCGAATTGGATGAAATTTGACACAGCTCATTTATTTGGCCCAAGGTCGAACCCTATTGAGAAAATCGGTTCACAGTTATATATAGCTCCCATATATATTCTAGTCCGATTTGTAGTAAATGGTGCAACAAAGTCCCTATATATATTTCGATTTGCATAAAATTTTGCATAGACTACTGAATTAGGCCCAGAATGAAGTGTACTAAGTTTATATATCTTTCGATTTGCACGAAATTTGGCATATCGTACTGAATTGAGTCTAGAATGGTGTGTACTAAATTTCGTGAAAATCGGTTCAAATTGAGATATAGGTCCCATATATACTTTCGTCCGATTTAATGTAAATAGTGTACCAAATTCCCTACATATCTTTGGATTTGTCCGAAATTTGTCTAGAATTGTGTGTGCTAAATTTCGTCAAAATCGGTTCAGATGTAGATACAGCTCCCACATATATTTTTGTCTGATTTTATGTAAATAGTGTACAAAAGCTGATATATTTCGATGTGGACGAAATTTGGCATAGCGTACTGAATTAAGTCTAGAATGATGTGTGCTAAATTTCGTGAAAATCGGTTCAGATTAAGATATAGCTATCATATGTCTATTCTTCCGATTTTATATAAATAGTGCAGTAAAGACCCAAGGTTTCTCCGATTGACACCCAATTTTATACAATTTACTGAAGTTAATTGAAATTAATCTCTGTCTGGCAAGTTTCGTTGAAATCGGTTCATATGTTTGCGTCCGAATTGAGGTAAATGGTTCACCAAAGTTTTAATGTTAGTCCGATTGACACGAACGTCGCGAAATTTTATATAGAGAAAGGGATTGGGCTAAAGAATAAGCATGCCTGTTTTGATAAAGATTGGTCAATGTTTAGCGGGTCAAATGGACCCTGACTTTTGTGTGAACAATTACAAAATTTGTATTCTATGGCCCCCTCCCTAAAGGACATAGACCAGAGAAGTTGACAGTATATCCAAGAGGAGTGGTTGACATTTTAATTGATACCAATTAAGGGATGAAATGGACCAAATACTTAATTTTTATCGGTTTTTCTGGTCGCTCTAGAGGCCGCAATTATGACCCAAGCATCGCGAATTTTTACATAGAGAAGGGAATCGGGCCAAAGAATAAGCATGCCTGTTTTGATAAGGATCGGTCAATATTTAGCTGGTCAAATGGACCCTGACTTTTGTGTGAAAAATTACAAAATTTGTATTCTATAGCGTATAGATTTACCCCTGAAGGACATAGACCCGAAAAGTTGTTGGTAGATCCAAGGGCAGTGGTTGACCTTTTAATTGATACCAATTATCTGGTCGTATGTACACAGATGTGGGAGTTACACTTAAATATTTACAGGTGCTTATGTATTCAGATATTATTTAGTAACCCTTTACCACACTAGTGGGCGGAAATATAGCGCTGATCGCTTTAAAATGTTCCATGAAGTTCCAGTTATGGTCAAGGGTAACGTCTACAATTTTCGGTGACAATCAGATAATTATATTGTGATGAAGTGGACCGAAAACTTAATTTTTTGTGTTTTTTCGAGTCGATCTATAGACTCCAATGGATATAAGATCACAACACAAGGGAAGGTAATGTGGACAAAATTAGAAGGGCTGTACTGAACATTAGTAATAATTGTCGGCCTCTAGTTGGTCCAGATGGTGCAAAAATCGCGAAATATTGCCTATGCTCAGAATATAGATCCACAGAAAGTTAGTTTTTCGTGGAAGTTGTGTAGGGTATCATATGGTCGGCCCAGTCGGGCTCCGCTCACTGGTTTTTGTATATTGATTAGATTTGCGTTTCGGAAATTTTTAAATTATTTAATTAGTTTTAATATTAAAAATGTAATAGAACAGCCCAAATACTCATTTTGGTATTGTCTCCAGAACACCCAATTTTTAGTATTTTGAAGATTTAAGACCAATTTTCTCACCAAAAAGTCTGTATTATATTTCGCTTTTGTCTGGCAGCAATTTAGGTGACATAGCACCTACACGAACCAGGTCCGATCGATTTTAGGTATTGTGGAGGGTATAAACAAGCTGAAATCGGTCGATCTTTTCCATCCCCTCCCACCATAACCCTATCGTAGTCCTTTTTTAGATTTTTTAAAATCTTAAATCTAAATCTTTTTAAATCTTATTCAATAAATTCCCCGAGGTGTTTGTATAAATATATATTTTTGACTATGTATGTCACCCCTTTTCAAAATATTTAATATTCCTCCCCCTCCCCACTTACAATCCATTTACCCTTTTTATATTCAAATGAGATTGCGAATATTTAACTTGTTATTATTATTCATAATCTGAAAAACAACAGCATTTTCATTTCATTTTGATTTATTCTTATCTTGATATTTGTTTGTGATTACCGTAAAGGTTATCTACGCAGAGCGATGAACGAACAGCAATAGCACAGATAATAGAGTTTGTAATCGAGCATAGCAGAAAAAAATAAAATAATAATAAATAAACTAATTGCAAATATTTGTATAATTATTATTTTTTGGTGAATACACAATATTGCGGCGTATTAACATGATTTTCTAATTTACGGAGGAAGATAGCGGGACAAAGAGTGAATGTGAAATTAAAAAAATAAATAAATATAAATTAGGTTTGCGGATTGAAATTATTTTTTGGATTTCGGGATGCACTTCAAGAAGTGGATATTTTGGCGGATCAAATCAAATCGTTCAAATATCGAAAGTCACCAAAACGGCAGCCGCCTGCCGTTTCTTCACTACCAGTTATGACAATGGTGTATGCAAATTGTAACTTATCTCAATTAACCATAGAAAATAATATCCTACCCCCTAGCCTGCCTGTGCACATAACTGCAGCATTTTATTCAAAATGTTAAGATTTATACATATGACTTCTTGGAGCATTGCCATCTCACATATCTCCTGCCAATGTTTCTACCATAAAATCCAGGCCAAATGCAGTCAAGTCAGTAATCAGTAGTGTAGTTGATTTGTTACCATCACCGCTACCACCAACAGTTAAGAAAATCATTACAGATGAATAAAAAAGTTCACATCGTTTCTGTGGTTGACCTCATTTATAAACATACGAGTATAACCCGACCACATAGCGAGAGGAATGGTATAACTCACACACATGCACTCACAGACAA